AACTGAATCAACTGCCAATTTTTAAAACAAAATTAAGTGCATTTAAAACTCAGTCCTTTAATCACAGTGGACACACTTCAAGCACTCATTAGCTATATATGAATAGTGCTACCATATTGGATAGAACAGGAAGAAGCTCTCCATCACTGAAGAAAGTTCTATTGGACATGCAGGTCTATTAGCTGATGAGGCCCTGTGCATTTATTAGCATCCCTCTGGAAGATGTAASCCTTCAAAGGTGACAGGCACTCTCAATCACAACAACCTCTCTATTTCCATTTAATAATTCTATGCCCATGCAGCAGCTCTTTGATACTGTTTGGGTTTCTCAAGAATACTTTCCTGCTGGGAAGATAATGAGCTCACCTGCTGAGATAAAGACCTAGTTTTCTTGACTGTTCCATTTCTCTCATGAATAAAGATGAGTTTGAATCCTTGTCCTAGAATATCCCTGAGTGAATGTCAACATCAAAGTGCAATGGCCTTGTGAGACCTCATGGAAACCACCAACTTCACACAAGTTCATGACTGGCAGCATGCCTCTGAAAGAGGAAATATGGTCTAAATAGGGTAATTACAAAATTTTACAAAGCTTCCCAGGCCAATGAGTCTCCTGTTTGCTCCTCTTTTTCAGGGTCCCTACTCACAGAGGGAGCCAAAAAAGAAGGTTTCTGGAGAGCAGGTGTGGAATTGGAGTGTCTGGCCCAGTGGGCATGTCACCTGGCCTAGCTGTCAGGCTGCTGGTACCACCCCTCTCCACATTCCCTTCCACTCCCCTTTCTCCATTCTTTGCTCCCTATTTAGATCTAAGGTGAGCAGGAAGATTCTTTCTCTTAGTAAATTTCTCTGGAAACAAATTTTGCCACTCTGGGCAATGAAAAACGTTCACAACCTGATTTAACTTTTTCAGGCTTTCTCCCATTTCAATTCCATCTGATACTTGAATGCAATAGATATAAAGCAAATCCAAGAGTGTTGTCTTTCCCACCAGATGTTTAATTCCTTGGAAGCAGGTACCAACATCTTCTTGTATTTTTTATCCTTTAAAATTCACTACTTGGTTTTTCATCCATTCTATTCAGTAACATGAGTCTGTTGTCTTTTGTATGATAATGGCTAACAGCAACTGAGCATTTACTAAATGCTAAGCACTTTTCCTGGATTACCTCATTTAATTCATATAGCCACTCTATGAAGTAGATATTATTTGTGTCATTTTACAGATTAGGAAACAAAAGTTCTGAGAGGTTCAATAAAATAGCAAGTTCACATAATTAGTAAGAAGCAGTCAGAAACTAAACTCAGATAGTCCTAGAGTTTAACCCCTGTAACAACACAGTCTTCCTAGGATGCTTTACTACTTACTGTGTATTTACAGTCTTAATTTTCTGGTGAGTTTATGCTTGGTCTTTTTCCTGTGCCTCATTTTCTTTTATATATATATATATATATATATATATATATATATAGAGAGAGAGAGAGAGAGAGAGAGAGAGAGAGAGAGAGACACGATATCATTACTTTGATACTGAGAATCGAACCCAGTGCCTCACATGGGAGGGGCAAGCATTCTGCCACTGAGCCACAACCCCAGCCCATTTCTTTTCTTCTTTTAGCAACAAAGTTCTCAAGGCGGCTAACCAAGATGCAGACTTGACCAATAGAGCGGCATCGGGCAGCTATCTGGAGCTAATGCTCTGACGTTCCGGGGTTCATAATCTAAGCGTTCAAGCTGGGCGTTACCTATCAGCTCTTTATTGTTAAACTCTCCATTGCTCTTCTCGGATTTTTAGCAGAATAAGGGGTCAGCCCACGCGATAGACAGGGAGGCTATGCTACCTTGTGCAATCCAGTTCTCCCAGAGCGGGTCCTGGGAGTGAATAAAGCTCAAGCGCACTGAACCAGTCCAACTTTACTAGATTTATCCCATTAAGAATAGTAATGCCTGAGTCCGCAGAGAACTGAAAGGCAGAATTGATTGGGTGGCGTACCCGGGAGGAGGAGTTTCCGCCTTTGGCCCCGCCCCCTGGCTCGGCCTCGGCTCCGCCCATGCCGCGTCACCTCGGCCTGGGCCCGCTTCTGCCGGCCTCAGACTTCAGGTCCCGCCCCTCGCCGATCGGGGAGCCTCAGCCAATCCGGGAGCCGCGACCCGCCGGCAGTGACGTGCCCCGCCCCTCAGCCGCGGGATTCAAACTCCCGGAAGCAGCGTTCGCGCCGCAGGGTGTGGCGGGGCAGACGCGATCGCTGCACGTCCCCTCAGGTGTTAGCTGAACCCCGGGCGGCGGCCGCGGAGGGTGGCTGTAGCGGCGTGTTGCCGCAGCCTCCTGGCCGGGCTAGACCGTGAGGGAGGCGGGGTTGGTGGGCATATCGCGGCCCCCGGACGCAATCTCTGCCGGCTCCGATCTGTACCCCTTTTCTTGTTGCTGGCTTAGTGCCTGGCACCGGGGTGGGCGCCTCTCGACCATCGTATTATCGATATCTCCTTTGGACTTTGCGGTGCGTATTATCACGTCCTTACAGAGAGGCCAAGTGACTTGGCCAAGGTCTTTTTGTTGGTATACAGCTTTTACTGATCAGCAAACCCTTTCGTKTCCCTTCTACAAACGCCTTCATTTTAGAGATGAGAAAACTAGTGTCTTTTTTGAAGCTTTTCTTTTCGTGTCTCTCTGCCCACGTGAGATCTTTTGTGACAGACTTTTTAAATTGTGCAATACATGTACTGTAATACATGCCTTGTGCAGTTTACTGGATTGAAATTCTGTGGTCATCTTTCTGTCTAGATTGATATAGATCATTTCAGCCATTCAGCAAATCATTTCTGAGAACCTGCTGTCAGGCTATATAGATAACCAAATAATAATAGTAATAATAATAATAATAATTCAAAATGCAGCCCCTGAAGTAATTATTGAAGTCTGAAAAAAAAAAAAAGGCCGGGGAAGGATACTACTGGGTGCCAGATTGCTTTGTGGGAGGCATCCCTTATTAGAGTTAACAGAGGGAGGGGTTCCTGAAGAAGCTGCCACTGCCAGGCAAGGTCTGAACCGGGGACCCTGTTGAGAATAGAAAATTCAGGGAAAGGTGGTTGGTAGGAGTAGATGGTTGGGGAGATGCTAGTGGGGTCTAGGCCAGAGGCTGGAAACTATAGTCATTCACTGCAGGCCGTGTTTAAAGGTTAGGAAGCAAATATCTCCAGTTATTTCAAGTTCTGCTGATCATATTTTTTTCTGTCCTAATGACTTGTCCTGTTAACCCAGTGTATCAAGTTCAAAGGGTGATATCAACAGAAGCACATAAGAAGGAACTAACATGACAGCAGGTTCCTGAGACACCATAACCTTGCATTTGACTCACCAGATTTACTACCTCCCTTAGTCTTAAACCTTATAATGGGCAAAAGTCTGGGACCAACCATTAGATATGTGGTTTGTTCAATTAAATTGACAACGCAGTTATGGTATTTTTAGGCTTTCTGATTTCACCCAGAACAACTTTATAAGTCACTTCCCCACCATCCTTTCTAAGTAGACCCCCCCTTTTTTTTTTACTGCATTTTACTCTGTTCATTTCCTGTATAGTATTTATTACAATTTGAGAATCTAGCCAGRTGTGTGGCACATGCCTGTAATCCCAGCAGTTTGGGAGACTGAGGCAGGAGAATCCCAAGTTCAAAGCCAGCCTCAACAACTTGGCGAGGCCTTAAGCAACATAACAAGACCCTGTCTCAAAATAAAGCATAAAAAGGGCTGAGGATGTGACTCAGTGGTTAGGTGTTCCTGGTTCAATACCTGGTACCAAAAAAAAAAAAAAAAAAAAAAAAAGAATCTGCTAATCTGTTTGTTTCCTGTTATTGTTTGCTTATTTTACTGCATCAAAAGCTCCACAAGAACAGGAAACATGTCTTTTTTTCTTTTGTCTATTTGTACCTAGTATCATTAGGGTACTCAATAAATAGAATATTCTATAGTAATTTTTCTATGAATTAAAGATCTTATACTCTTCTAGATTCCTTAATCACATTGCCATTATTTTACCATGAGACACATGGCATTTTAAAATCTCCTTAATGAAGAATTACTTTCTCCTAATGCTAGGGATCAAGCCCAGAGCCTTGCATTTTTGAGGCAAACATTCTACCACTGAGTTATACCCCCAAGCCTAAAGCTATTTTTAGGTACTATTTATATGTATAGTATGTTACACAATATATTTGCCTGCTTAGTTTGTGTTATATATTTGGCCTTCTAAAATGTCATCTAGAAGGGTTATCAGACTTAATTTGACCCTTTGTTTTAATTCCTTTCTTTGCCTAAATCCCTGAATATTGTGCCTCTTTTCCTATAAATGTTTCCTCTTAGATTCTCCTTGATTCTTCCCTCTGTGATTTCTCAAATGGCTATTAAGATAGAGCTGAATTAATCATATCTTCTAAAATAGAGGATATACCATTATGTTAAGTAAAGGTATTACAATGCCAATAAATTCAGAAATAGATAATTTACCACCAGCTTTTTWAAAAAAAWTTTTTTAGTTGTAGATGGACACAGCACCTTTATTTTATTTATGTGCTGCTGAGGATCGGACCCAGAGCCCCATGCATTCGAGGCAAGCACAGCCCTACTACCGCTTTTTATACTTGGATATGATATGTCCTTGATTGTGGCCTACTTCTTTCAGGCTTCATTATAATGATTGTGGGGACCCCTCCATTGTTTTTCAAACAAAACTTATACTCTACCACATTTGCAGAATACTGCATAAAACATAAGTATGCAAATTGATATTTTTAGAAGGTTACTACTCTGCATGTGTCTGCTGAGATTAAAAAAAAAAATCCTAACATTCCAGATATCTTCTTCCATCTTTTCTTTCATACTCCACTGGTTTGGATATATTATTTCAGTTTAGACCAAAGTAGGTTATTCTACTTAATTTAAAACCTGAGATTTAAATTCTTAGACTTATAAAATACAATTGAATTTTGTCTTTAATAGACCATTTCAGAGATGTCTTCCAAAAGTCCCAAAGAGTTGATGAAGAGTAAATGGGGAGCAAAGCCTGGTAACTCGAAATCAGAAACTGCATTAGAGAAATTTAAGGGAGAAATTGCAGCTTTAAAAACATCAGTGGATGAAATCGCAAGTGGAAAAGGCAAACTGACTGATAAAGACAAACACAGACTTTTGGAGGTACATGATCTTTTAGCCCTTTAGGTTGTAATAAGCTTTCTTAGAAAATGATGTATTATGATTTTCTGATGCCACCATTACTCTTGTTCCACTCAGTTCTTTAGTTTTAGAAAGTTGACCCTTGGATTTGGAATCTTAAATTCCTAGTTCGACTTTGCTAACTATTAGACATACTTCAGTGCTTATGTGTTTTGAGATTATCACATACTAAGTTTGTTTCAGAAATAAAGACAATAGTTCTGCACCTTCAACACAATACTGTAGTCTCTTTTTCAGTTACATAAAGTTATAACCTAATTCATAATTCCTCCTATAGCTTTTTGGTTATTTAGCTTAATGACATGAATATTCTTGATAATTTTTGTTTTGCTGTGTCTTAGTCTGTTTTGGTTGTTGTTGCTGCTATAATAGAATGTCACAGACTGAGTAAGTTAAAAAGGAAAAAGATTTATTTGGTTTATCTCCTTCACCTCTTATTAGGCTCTACCTCCCAACATATTACATTGAAGATTAAGTGAATTTTGGAGGGACACATTCAAACTATGGCACAATGTATTTAAGATATTCTAATATAAATGTTTTCACTCCCCAAACCCTCCTTGAGGAACTTAAGCATGCTAGGCAAATGTTTTACCACTGAGCAACATTTCAGGTCCCTGTTTTTTAATTGTCTATAAGTGTTGTATTTTCATGCTTTTTGGAATACTGGATTTATTATTCATTCATGTATACTTTAAGGATACTGTACCATTCTTATATCTCTTTTTACTATAATTTATGCAATAATCATACTATCTGTTTTTTCTATTAGTTCATTAAATGTAAAAAAATCAAATTTATCCATTTAGGATATTAAATCCTCTATTCATTTCAGAATGTTAAATAGTATTCAAATTTATCTGTAAATGTTTAAAAACCTATTTTATCATGCATATTGGCTGCTTTCCACGTAACCTTTGCTTTTAGGTGCTTTGAGATAAAATTATTCCACGCATTGGCATTTTGCATGCTATTTAACTATATTTCAGATTCTCTAATTTTTAATTTGTTATGGCACAGGGAACTTATTAGATCTGGGAGGATCTAAAAATCATAAGTTTGGTTTTCATCTATTTTACAAAAGTGCTCTTATTGTTCAAATTTAGTAAACAAATGATTAAAGAGTATCATTTGATTCTTTTAAATTTCATTTATAGGCACATCATAGAACTGAATTATTATTGACTTTTATACAACATAAATTACTTAAGCACTGAGAAATGAACTATCACCATTTTATAAACAAATGTTATTTTGCATTCTGGTAAAGGAATATTATAGCTTTCCTGAGAGATGTCTTTCTGGTTCATTGCTCCTTTGACAAGCACTAAATGCTTTGTTCCCTTATAAGCCGTTGAAATTCAAGTTCTGTTACTTATTCCCATATGTTGTAATTGTGCACATTAGAACTAAACAGAACAAGTCTATCCTTTATCCAAATATACATTTTATCAGACATTTGAGGAAATCTTGCTTCCTTTTGCTTTTCTGCAGAAAACACGTTCTCTGGCTTACCATCCTCAACACTTTGTGGTTTGTCTGTATCCCTTCTGAATTATGCACCCAAAATTGAGAGCAGTCCCCAAATGTTTTTTGGCAAACAAATTGAAATGGTACTATTATATGTACTTACTGAATACCTTACTCTGCTAAAACCAGAAATTGTCTGGCTCTGTATCTATGTCATACTACTGATTTGATTTAAGCTTGTGGCCAACTAAAATCCCCTCTTAATTTTCTACCTAAACTTTAATTTCCCTGTTTTTTATTTGAATAATTGCTTTTTTCTCCTTAAATGCAAATTTTAATTTGACTCTTTGCTTAGTCATTTGAACAATTGTTTCTATCATCTTTCTATTGGCATTTCCCCCTTATGCCAGCAGCAGTATAATAGTGTACTTACTTTCAGATCTTGGAAAATGTTGAACACTTCTTTAAAGATCACTTTCTAGATTTAATATCAGATCATTCACCTGTCATAAGTAGGCTAATTAATTCATCTTTAAGTTGTAGTCCATAACTTTTCAACTCTTCTGGTTCAAGTTCACTAAAAAACATGTATATCTTAGGGGACTCACTTTTGGCATTTAGGTTTATAAAAGCTGATATTTTGGAGGGAAGATTCTAAAATACTCATATGAGTGCCAGTTTTCCTTTAGCTTTCTCTCCCCACCCTTGGTTTTTCTTTTCTCTGTGTCTGTGYCCATTCATTGTATATGTATGTTACCTAGAGCATAAATTGATGTATTGGCTTATCTCTCTGGGAGCTGAGCATAGAACTTGGTTTTATCTTCCTTTTTGATCCTGGTATCATAAAACCAACTTGACATATAATAAACATTTCATAAATGCTTGTTGAATTACATTGTTTCACTGAATGTTTGACCTGGCTTTGTTCTAAGAGTCTTCTTAGTTTATATCTAGAAAATTCGAGTTCTTGAAGCTGAGAGGGAGAAAAATGCTTATCACCTCACGGAGAAGGACAAAGAAATACATCGACTCAGAGACCAGCTGAAGGCCAGATATAGTACAAATGCATTGCTTGAACAGCTGGAAGAGAAAACAAAGGAAGGTGAAAGGAGGGAACAGTTGTTGAAGTCCTTAACTGAAGAAACAGATGTTTTGAAAAAACAATTGTCTGCTACAACTGCAAGACTKGCTGAACTTGAAAGCAAAGCCAGCACACTTCGTGTATCACAGGTGCTAATAATTTCTTTAAACTTAAGGTTTTTTCTAAATGATAAGAATACAATTTGTAATTCTTAGGAAAAGTGAGTTTATTAAAGTATGATTGCTAGATGATGAGATAGCATAGTAAACATACAGGTCACTTACTTGGGCCCAGAAGATTTTTTGCTACTTGCTAGCTGTGTGACTGAATAAATTCCTTAACTTCTACCTTAGAGACAATGACAGGGTTCTCCAGACCTCTTTCTTAAGCCTCAGTGTCCATATTAGTAAAACCAGATAAGAATACTGATTAAATGTGACAGTGTAAAGTGCCTACCGTAGTACCTGGCAATACTGAGTGTTCTGTAAAGGATTACTTATTGATCAAACTTTTGATTCTTTTGGAAATTTGAAAATTTGATTAATATTAATAAAGCTATTAATACCACCTATAGAAGATAATTGTAGCTTTCGAATATATAATGTCTCAATGCTATTAATGGTCATGTCTTTGCACTTTATCTCACCTTTGGAGTGGACTTAGTAATCTGACCTATACATTTTTGCATATTTTCATATATAGGTAATTGAGTGTTTCTCCATAAGAGTGCAAAGAGCTGAAGTTTTCTAGAGAACTCCACAGACTTGAAACTCATGAAACATTATAGTCAGACTTGAAATGCTTCTAAAATCTCTTCTAGAAGTTTAAGAATTAGTCCCTTACCCATCTTCCTCTCCCTGTTTTTGGTGATGGGGTTGGGGGTACTGAAGATTGAACCCAGAAACCCCCTACCACTGAGCTCCATTCCCCAACCCTTTTTATTTTGAGACAGGATCTCGCTAAGTTCCCAGGGCTGGCCTCCTAAGTAGCTGGGATGACAGGTGTGTGCCACCGCACCCAGCTAGTTTCTGTATTTTTAATATGAGATGTGAACATTAGTAGAACTCTTAACTTTTAAAGATGTATTCTTAAATAATTTTGTGGGTTATCTGGTGTTGATTTCTGCTCATCAGTATGTTCAGGTGCTGTGACAAATAGCCTTCAAATCTTAGTGTCTTCCACAGGAAATGTTGATTTTTGTTTTTCCTCCTGTCACCATCCAGGGCAGGTTGGAATGTAGGAGGCTTTGCTCCACAGAATCATTCAGAAATCCAGTAGCTTCTAGTGGCTCTACTGTCCTTTGGGAGGGAGTCTTCCACTAGATGCTCTGTGTGCAGCTGTGATATAGAGAGAATTGCCTGGGAGAGTTTGGGGCCAGGTTTGGGACTGGCGTATTTCACTTCTGCCTACACTACATTACACAGGATTAGATCACATGGTTCCACTAACTCCAGGGATGACTGGGAAACTAGTCTACAGTTTGTTCAAGGAAAAAAAGAAAAGTATTTAGTGAAACCTCTCTGTCATAGTTCCTACCTGGAAGGCTAAATTGAACAAGAAAGGGCTATATATTAATGTGAGCAAATAGAACATCTTTAGGGGAAAAAAAAATATTTGGGGCTTCCTTATATATGATATTTAAAAAAAAAAAAGCCAAAGAAAATCCAAACACTCCAAAATATAGTTGTTGTTTTTTTTTTTTTTTTTTTTTTTTTAGTTTGTAGGCTAGTCTGGGTGCATTCCCATCTTTTTTTTTTTTTTCCTGTATGAGAAAATGAAGAAAAAAAGAGGAGAGAAATTAGGTTTTTGAGTTTTATATAATTTGTATGAACTAATACTAATTAATATTATTTCAAGTTGAGCATCCTAATCCCAAAATCCAAAATGCTTCCAAAATCTGAAACATTTTGAGCACCAGCAAGACATTACAGGTGTAAATTCTCACACTTGAACCCTTGTGACTAAGGTGGTAGTCAGAATGTGGGCACACTCAATATTTTGTACAAAATTACCCCCAGGCTGTGTGTGTAAAGTGTGTGTGAAACATAAATGAATTTAGTGTGTAGAGTTGAGACCCATCCCCAAGATATCTTATGATGTATATGCAAATATTCCAAATGCTGAAAAAATATGAAATGCAAAACCCCTCTGGTCCTAACATTTTTGGATAATAGATAACTCAACCTGTAATAATCTAAAATATTAGTACTAATTATTGTGATTATTATAAATAGTAATATTATTTTTTAAAAAAATATTTATTTATTTATTTTTTATTTTATTCGTGGACACAACATCTTTGTTTATATGTGGTGCTGAGGATCGAACCCTGGCCGCACGCACGCCAGGCGAGCGCGCTACCGCTTGAGCCACATCCCCAGCCCGTAATATTATTTTTATTAATGTTGTTATTATTATTATTATTATTTTATGTACTGGGAATTTAACCCAGTGGTGCTTTACCACTGAGCTACATCCCCAATCCTTTTTATATTTTGACATGGGGTTTTACTAAGTTGCTAAGGCTGACCTTAAACTTGCAATCCTCCTGCCTCGGACTCCCATGTCAATAATGCTAGGATTATAGGCATGTACTACTGTGCCCAGCCTACAAAATATAATTCTTGAAAAATAAAAATACTTTTTAAGTTTTTGTTTGACAATTTATATTTTCCAGGTTTCATTGAAATAGCCCAGTTGTTTTGTTTTGACAGTTTTTGGTAAAAACCACTAGTTTATTCTTATGCATAAAAGGCTGTTGTGGTGATCCTGGGGTCCAGAGCATCTTGGAAGTCAAATGAGATTTGAAATCTCAGGCTTTACAGCTTGCTTGGGAAGCTTCCAGGAGATCTTAATTCTGACAGTAGTCCTCTGGTAACTATCACTAGGTTGATGTTTTACCATCACGTACCAGATCTAGATTTTGAGATTCCCCAGAGAAGTATASTATATTTTTATGGAACTAAATATAAATATAATAAGGAAACTTCTGTTGTTAAAAGTATACCTTTAACTAATAACTGGGTTATTTACAGACTGTGGCTGCAAACTGCTTCAACTCATCAATGAGTAATATTCATGAGATGGAAGTACAGCTAAAAGATGTAAGTTTATTTCTTTTTGTTAATTACTAGGTAAAGAGGACTTATTCATCTTTTCTTAAATTTCATAGAAATTGAAGCATGAGTATTGAAAAAAATCTAGTTGTAAAACAGGAGAACTGAGTGGTTTGTGGTCGTTGCCTAAGTCTCTTCCCAAGCATTCAAGAGAATCGTTTCCTTTAAGTGCTCTGTTTAGTTTAGAAAGCCCTAGAAATTACCTGCTGCTAATACATATTTCAACAACATCCCTTCTCCACCTAAATCTAATTTGCCCAACTATTTTATTATTATAATGTAATTTAATTTATGGTTTCTTCTCTTTGTTTATCCATGCAAGGTATACTCTCTTTTTTTTTGAAATCTTTCTTTTGGAACCAGGATTTACTTTTTATGGTTTGAAAAGGAAAAACATTCTGTGTACACTCAGTACTCTTTTCTCTAGAATTTGATATGAGTTTTTTTTTAAGTATATTGGTAAAGCTGTGTTATTTCAAACTTACATCTTAAATGGATAGGTAGTTTTTTGAGGAGTTGAATAAACTGAGGACATATGACTGCTATCAGTGTTTCTTCAAGTTTTAATAATAGATATATTAAAGGTAGGTAGATATTTTGATTGCAGAAATGTTACTGGCATGTCTACCCTGATAAGCATGCTCTTAAGATTCCTGCTTTATTTCATCTGATAAGTGTCCCTTGAAGTCTATTTGATCTTTAAAAGAATTTAGATCTCCTGAGTGTCTGACAGGGCGCTACTGTACCTTTCTCAAAGTGATTTACCTAGAGGTAACTAAAATAAAGAAGCAATATAATTTTTAAACTGTCAAAATAGGCTTTTTTGTGTTATATATCACACTGAACTTTATCACATTCTATGCGTATTAGTCCTGCTAGATGTGCATATTTGTGGATGATTTACTTTATATACCTTCTGTTTCCCATTAATTCTACCATGCTGGTTTTTCAGCTTCTCCTTGAAAGCATCACCTTTTTTCTTTCTGTTCCTTCTGACAGGGATGCTCTTCCCCCAGATAACTTCATGAAGTTTCTGTAATATCACTTTCTAGGGGGAGGCTGGGACAGGGTTTTKTTAATGCCACCTTGTCTAAGATTATAGCTCTCAGATAGTTCCTATTGCCTTTTTCTGCCCCCTCTCCCAATCCTGTATTACTGAAGCTTACAATCTGTTTTACTTATAACCCTTAAAAATAGTATACCTTTTTTAAGGTCTAGCTGTATCATTCCTCAGCTACCATTTAGATCTGACCAACATTTTGAAATAATGCATTACCTGGAGTTAATGCTGTAAACATTGTCAAATGTCCAAGCTAGATAGAACAAATAGCTAAAAGAAAGGTTTATTAAGTATTTCTTCCTCTTAATTTTAACAATCTGATTTTTAAACAGAAGTTAGGGAAATAAACAATAACTAACTTTTTTAAATCTGAAAAAATTCAAATGAACAGAGAAGTTCCAAGCATGAGAATGGTACATATAATGCCCATATCCTCTTTATCAAAATTCAACCATTACTATCATTTTGCCCCATTTTGTACTCTTGTTTTCTCTTTTACTTCCACCCCCACACAGACACATAGTATTTTTTTAAAAATATTTGAGAGGATTCACATATCCATCATCCTTTAAGCTGACATATTTCAATGTATCTTTCCTAAGAAGGAGGATACTCTCTTACATGACAGCTTGAACTGCAACCTCAGTACATTTATCATGGACATAGTGCTTCTGTCTAATCTACCATCCTTAATCCAGTTTTATCAATTGACCCACATTTTTTTTTAATTCCTCCAGTAGAGGGTAACATATTTAACCTACTTTGGAATTTTTGCCCACAGAATATTTAGTGGATCCCTGTTAAAAGAGGAGGGAGAACATTAGCAGTATTTCACAGGACTTCACTTTTGCCCATATTGTATGTTTTTATTGATTGGATGAAAATGTTAAGTACATATCGCACAAATGTGTAGATGACACAGGGATAACTAATACAATGTTGATATTAGAGATCAAAAACTAATAACATCAATATTTATTTATTGATAGATATCCATTTATTGACACTGTTAGAAGAAAGAACAGATGCACAGAGTGTGGAATAAAGAAACATTTACTTTATTGAAGTAACATCGCCATCATGTGGCCTTTTAGGATATAGTCTCTTAAATCTTATATCAATGCGCATTTTTGTCTTTTATTTTTCAGTAAAGTATCCACCAGTTCTTTTAAAAGAAAAATATTTCATAATCATCTGATGTTGATTTAAATTATTTCCTTCTTAAAGGCGTAAATTTGTAAAGTTTGATGTAAAATTAGGTTTCTTTAGTGTTGCACATACTGTAAATTATAGCTATTTAGATATACACAATATACAATGCTACCTCTCGTAGCAACTAAATTTGAGCATGAACCCAAGGTCCTTGTGAGTCTTTTCTTTGAAAGATGCATAGAATATGAACAGGAACTTCACTAGGAATTGCAGTGTATCTAAATAAGAAAGTGATCACTGCAGCCTACTTTGAGATAAGCCATGAATCTTGGCCATCTTCTCAACTATACTGTTTATTATGAAGTCTAGATGTTAGTATTCATATTTCTTTGAGGCTGATTATTTTTCTCCAACATTTTATTATGAAATCTTTCACACGGAAAAGTTGAAAGAAAGTACACTGGATGATTGTACATCTATCACTAAGTTTCACTAAAGAGACAGACTCATTAAATAAGTTTACTACAATGAAAACATYCATTCATGGAACTTTGCATCATTGAGGTTATAATACAGAATGGGTATACAATATCTCCACCCTGATAGTGACCTCTTAAGCCAAGCAAAAAGAACCACTGTTAAAGTTGCCTTATGAGTACAGAGAGCAGAGTATCACAGGGTGGTGGCCTGGACTAAGTCTTTGATTCTGGAGATGGCTTCTGTTTACTTTTTTTTTTTTTTTAATTGTTGGTTGTTCAAAACATTACATAGTTCTTGATATATCATATTTCACACTTTGATTCAAGTGGGTTATGAACTCCCATTTTTACCCCGTATACAGATTGCAGAATCACATCAGTTACACTTCCATTGATTTACATATTGCCATACTCATGTCTGTTGTATTCTGCTGCCTTTCCTATCCTCTACTATACAACCTCCCCTTCTGTTTACTTAACCCTTCTCCTAATCCTACAAAAAGCAAACACTGCAAGTCCTTTAAGTCCACATACCTGGACTTGTAGAAGAAGCCTAACAAAGCAGTAGAGAACCCTCTAGACTTGAGAGTTTCTATGTATGCAGATCTTTGTGGGTATGAATCTCAACTGCATGTGTCTTTAAGAGTTAGAAGTTCTTACCAGAAAGCAGAGTTCCTGATCCACAACTAAAACCTTCACGTTCCTTAGCACGATTCATCCTGGAACTAGGGACCTGGGATGAGTGGCTACTTTCAAAGGAAACATGATTATTCTATTTTCAAATTGAGATTAAAAAAGAATTTTATCCATGCATGATAGGTCATTTTAAGATCAAGAGGGCTATTTGTGTAGTTCTTCCAATAGTTAGTAATCTGACATCCATGTTTAATAATGAGGTCTGTGAATTCTGTCATAGGTCTCCAAGATGTGAACTACCATGAACCCTGGATTTATAGCCCATCCCAATGCATATACATGAATAGGTTCCAATTCCTGCTGTACAAAGCCAGTGTTCTTTGGGGAAAAGTCTGGTTATATATGTAGAGGTTAAAGAATAGTACTAACCACTAAAAAGAACAAATTAAAAAAAAAATTTAAAAAGAATAGTACTAACCAGTTGTCCCTCCTTATCCCTTCAGAGTGAGATGGAAGCTTGTGGGCTGGGGGAGCTCCTCCTCCTTGGTATACCTAATACAAATTCAGGGTGGTTCAAAAAGAATTGAGCCCTTTTGAAGATGCATTCCAGTATGTATGTTTTATTTGATTRAAGTTACACCATGCAACTCTTTGTCAAGACCCTTGTATTTGTGTCATCTCTTTCTGGCAGCCCTGAAGCATATGAGTTGTACATCCTGTTTGCCATGTCCCCTGATAATAATGCAGTACAACAGATCTGAGACAAATTATGACACAAGAAGTACATATTAAACACTTGTAAGCTTTTAGAAACAATTATCTTAATTTCATTAAAAAGGGTTTTATTGCATTTTTGGTATATTAATCAGTGACGATTTAATAGACTTCTGAAAGTGTTTGATTCTTTTTGACCCACTCTAAATTTATTGTTCTAGTGTRTGTGAGGAACTGCTAGATTCATTCTTGGCCTCTCCTGTCTCCTGTGAACGCTCAAACTTCAGTTGGAGACTCAAGGGTGCATTCCTGCTTGCCGGTCCTTGTAGCCACTGTGTACCAATTAATGTTATCATCATTGTTCACAAACATCCCCTTGCTGGGGAAGCAGTGAAGGCTTGCATGGAAATATAAAACAAAACAAACACCGAAACAAGCCTGGACCCCACCTTCCATGGGACTCATGATCTAGTTAAGATGAGATGTATCATTGGGACACAATTAAGGTCACTAGTTACATGCCCAGTAGGTTGGATTGGCAGTAAAAATACTGGTGGCTTGTAAGAAGAGAGAACTTGCTGAGGGCAGTTTTTTTGAGCTGCTCCAAATTTATTGTTCTAGAGTGTGTGAGGAACTGCTAGATTCTTTCATAGACTCTCTTGCCTCCTTTGCTCGCTCTCACAGTTGGGGCTTGTGTGGTGCTTCATAAAACTACATATCCATTCCACTCTGTTTCAGCCACTAAAGTTAATGTAGCTTCTTAGGTATTTCCCAATATCTTGTTGCAGACAAGCATAGTTGTGATTTATAAGTTTTGAATCTTGAGCTAAGTGATCCACTAGGCTGTGAGAGCATCTCCAGTTTCTTGAGGGGACGATATGATGGAAATGAAAAACTAATATTAGCAGTAATTGTCAAGTGAATTGCTTCCCATTTCCCCACTCAGTTAAACAGACTCTGCTTGTTTTATTAGTATTCGTTACTTTTGAGTATATGTTGTACTTGAAGATTGAGAATTCTTTTAGAGAAGCATGATCTTATTATCTGTTTGAGAGAAACAACAGAGAAAAAGCTGAAGATGGTTGATAAAGTAAAAACCATTTTTAAAAGTAAGTAGACATTTACTAAAATCTRCATCAGTAAGCACTGTATTAGTTTCCTAGGGCTGCCATAACAAATGGCCTCAGCATTGGTGTCTTAAATAACAAAAGTGTATTATCTCTCAGGCTGGAGGCCAGAAGTGTGAAATCAAGGTGTCAGCAAGGCCACACTCTCTCTGAAGGCTTTGAAAGAGACCCTTCCTTTCCTCTGGCAGTTTCTGGTGCCTGCAGGCACCTTGAGCTTGTGGCAGCAAGCCAGCCTCTGCCTCTGCCTTCACATGGCCCTCTTAGATGCTGGACATCCGTCTTCTCTTCTTATGAGGACACTAGTCATTGTATTTAAGGCTCACTCTTCTCCAGTATGGCCTCATCTTAACCAATTGTATCTTCAAAAACCCTGTTTCCAAATAAGGTCACATTCTACAGTTTCAGATGGACATGAGGTTGGGGGGACACTATTCAATCTCCTGCAAGTATGAAGCCCCTGTATGAAAGGCGAACAATCCCAGTTTGGGGGTTTTACTTGAGTTCTAACAGATATAAAGGGTGAAATTGGTAATAAAGAGAAGGGAGCAATTGAAGTTTGATTCTCCAGGAAGTAGACACTGAAGGGGGGAGTTAGAAATTCAGGTAATTTATTGTGGGGCAATATATGTGACAGGAAAAGGAAGGAGCCCGGAATACATAGGGGACCATCCAATCTGGTAAAAACCTGACAAGGTCTTTATCAGCTCCATAGGAACTTCAGACCAGAAATTGCTCCCGAGCAATGTCCCATGTTCGGCAGAAATCACCGGGTCCTTGTTTTGCTGTTGGCTAAGCTCAGCCCCAAAGCACAGAGAGACTTGAAGGAGTTAATAGCAAGAGGTGGCCAGCTAACCCCTCTACCTGCAGCCAGGCAAAGCTTTTTCTTGAAGTGGGATCTGAGCAGCTTTTCTTTGTCTGCTGCAAAGGCATAGTAGTTTACAGAGCATGACGTGTCCACAGACATAAAGTGAGCTGTATATAGGAAGTAGCAATTAACAGGACTCAATCCCATGTAAATTATGACTTTGCCATACTGTTGTGGATTCTCAAGGTGTGTGCCATAATGGTTGACCATAATTATTCTATGGGCCATACAAATTTTTAAGTATTAGAAAAGACTAACATTACATCAGGTGGACCCCCTTGTCCATTTGAAGATTTTTATTATACCATTGATTTTCTTTCATCTTCACTATTAGGCTCTGGAGAAAAATCAACAGTGGCTTGTGTATGATCAGCAACGAGAGGCCTACGTTAAAGGACTTTTAGCAAAGATCTTTGAGCTGGAAAACAAAACGGAAACAGCTGCTTCTTCACTCCCACAGCAGATAAAAAAGACTGAATCAGAAGGTACAAAAATGTTCTTTGGGGACAGGCCTGACATTTTCCAAAAGGAGTGATTCATCAAATTTAGGTTTTTATAGATAGGTGTTAGAAAGTAAAATAAGAGTCTTCTGAGTTTGAGGTAAGAAATCCCATTCTGCAGGTCTGTTCCAGGCCTTGTGTTTTCAGACAAGAGGGCACAAGATAGGGTTGGAGGGTCATGACTGGCACCTCTGGAGTCATGATGTCTCCTCTGCCTGTGCATGCCTTGGCCCCCTTCACAGTCCTCCAGCTTGATTTCCCTCAGAGTTGCCCTGGTCACCAGCTCTCTGTTTACATTGCTTCCCTTCAGCACCAACTCATGTCAACCCCTGGAGAAAGAATAAGTTTTGTAGATTATTCTCCAGTCGTTTGAACCTCACTACAGACTTCAGATGAAATTTCTTACTCATGGTACTATCTTTTTGCCAAGTGCTTTGCAGTTCACTTGACACTGATCCCAGTTGAGTGTGACAACAGCTCTAAAAGGTGGGGCAGGAAGGGCCATTAGTTTCATTTTACCAATGAAGAAATGGGTCCTGTAGTTCTAGCTGACAGGCCAGGACAAAGAGAAGCCCCATGCAAAGAAGCACTGCTTAAAAGCCTGACAGCCCTGAGGGAAACACAGCCTTGAATTATGTAAAGAGATGCCTAGAGCAAGGGAAGCCAGAGCCTCATCTTGAAGTCTCACATCTGAATATTTAAAATGAACCTAATGCTAAAAGGAAAATATCAAGGGAACATCTCTAGAGGTAATTCAAGGTGTTGAGCCCTAATAGGACAAGGTTACTACCGTGGCACCTTTATATATGTACATGGAAGTAGGATTTTCGTTCTGGGCCAAGTCTAATTTTTTCATTTGGTAATAGAGTCTGTTCTCTCTCTACTCCCCCTTTCTCTCCCTTTGTCTTCCTGCCTTCTGTTTTTTTTTTTCAAAGTAATATAAGCATTTATTAAAATAATCTAGTGACAGTACAGAAGTGTCCTACCCTGCCTTTTCCATCCCATCTTCATACTTCTGTCTTTAATTTTGGTAATTAATTCCATATGCTAAATTATGAGCTTTTGTCCCTATTTTTGGCTTATCTTYAGACATCAGGGACTTCATCTCCCTACAGAATATTACTGTTTCTAGTGCTTGTTTGTGACTTCTTTGTGACTTCAAATAAAGTATCTGAACTACTATTTCTTAATTCATCAAATATCATCCATAGCTCCCTTTCCTGACTCTTCATTTTGTGAGCTGAAGAAATGGTATGATCTCATTTATAGAAACATGATTGAATTTTAAGTTCTCAGGAATATTATGGGTTTTATGAAATTAGTTTTGCATGATGTTGTTCGTCATAGGTTACCTCCAAGAAGAGAAGCAAAAATACTACAGCCACCTCTTGGCAAATGCCAAAAAAGATCTTGAGGTTGAACGACAAACCATAACTCAGTTGAGTTTTGAACTTAGTGAATTTCGAAGAAAATATGAAGAAACTCAAAAAGAAGTTCAAGATTTAAATCAGCTGTTGTGTTCACAAAGAAAGGCAGATCTGGAAGATGACAGGCATAAAACAGAGAAAATACAAAGACTCAAAGAGGAGAATGATATTGCCAGGGAAAAGCTTGAGGAAGAGAGGAAGAGATCTGAAGAGCTCTTATCTCAGGTAAACTTGACCAGAAAGTTTCTTCATTACTCATAATTCAAAGTTTTCATGAGCACTTACCAAGTGTCGGGAGTATTTTAACCACTAGCCAGTTAGCAAAGACTGAAATAACATCCTGCCCCCTCATGGGAGTTTACATTCTGGCATGGAAACAGACCATAAAGAATGACCCAAGTAAGTAAGTACACYAAAGAAAATAAAACTAGGTGATATGACAGAGAAATTGGGGTGAGTAAGGCCTGTTAGAGGAAATGGTATTTGGAAAAAGACCTGATGATAAGAAAGACCAGCAAGGTAACTTTGTGGAAACTCCCTCTGAGTGAGAAGGAAGTAGATATGTGTGAGAAGCCAAAAGAAGATGTAAAGTAGGGAAAGGAATAAGGTTGATCCTGGCTTCTTGATAGATTGTGCTCAAGTAAATCCACATAGTGCCTGCCATAGTCTCATTATACTCACAGTTTTGAGCCAGGATGTCTTGGTGATGTTGGAGTTAGTAAGTTAGAATTATTAGAATTGAATACTACTTTGACAGAAAGTCATTAATTTAAATTTTGCTTGGAAGCATAGAGTAATAGAACATTTGGAGTCCATATCTGGACATATGGTCTTAAGCAGATCACCTACCTTCTCTTTCTCTGGCTCATAGGTCAAATGAATAATAACCTCTAACTGCTTTATAGGGCTCTTGTGAGGGGCAATGGAGGGAACGTAAAAGTGCTCTGTAAACTAAATAAAAGTCAGTGTTAACACTACTATCATAATAGCTAATTATAAAAAATCCTCCAGAGGTTAAGACTCGGGGGAGGGAAAATTAATAGTCAAACATTTTCCCGTCTTTACTGCTCTCACTTCTGTCTATGGGGTGAGCCACAAGTGACACTTGGGAAAGATTCCTCAGATARGATTAAATGTGGCTCCAGCTCTGCAGCCTCGGAGGCCAGGCACTACCCACTGTTTTCCTACTCTGAAATGATGGCGGATGTCAGAACCTCCAGGAAAGGGGTGTGGCCACTGCAGAGTTGGGTGTTGTTTGCAGGGGCCAGTCTGTTGACTCAGGGAACTCAGGAGCCAGGGAAGTAYTCTCAGTAGAGAGCCATCAAACCACCAGCTGGAATGAGTCACCCACCTAGCTGGTGTCCTGCTTAGAGATGTGACTTGTGATGTGAGCTTCTCATGCTTCCCTGGTCAAGTGATGAAAGATTAGATGAGACAATGTTGGTTCTCTTTGCATCCAACAGGTCCAGTTTCTTTACACGTCTCTGTTAAAGCAGCAAGAGGAACAAACGAGGGTAGCTTTGTTGGAACAACAGGTACTCACTGGGGTTGCTTCTAAATTTAGTTCAATTGTTAGGAAATGGAATTTTCCCTCACATTTCCACTGTTTTATAGAGAACTGTTTGAAAGTTGTGAAAAGTGTTCTAAAAGGATTTGAACTTTTGTACCCATATATTCCTATGGGTAGTCAAACCAGATTCTTTGAGATGGCAATTTATTTAACCAGTTGATGTTGGCCTTGGTAAATTTTGCTCTTTCCCGGTGACCATAGTTTCTACATAGCCCAAAAGTCTCTTAATTAGACCACCTTCTGCCAGCAACAGTGGCACACATCTGTAACCCCAGCTACTCTTGAGGCTAAGAAAGAATAATTGCAAGCTTGAGGCCAGCCTCAGCAACTTATTGAGATTCTGCCTCAAAATAAAAAATAAAAGAGGCTGGGGGTAGGGTTCAGTGGAAGAATACCCCTGGGTTCAATCCCCAGTATCACACACACACACACACACACACACACACACACACACACACACACGGGCCACCTTATAACTTCAAGCAGAATTAAAAAATATACTATTTGTTCTTGAAATGTAGAGCAGAGATTCTTAGTATATTCCAAAACAGGGAATAGCCATTTCTTTCCTTTTCCCCACTCTTCCCCCAGCGCCCCACAGAGAGGATTAGGATGGGATAATTTCAACCAGCAATTTCCATAGCTGCTCTTTATTACCTGTATCTCAAGCCTTGGCATTGCTTCTTGGATAAACCTAGTCCTCAGCCACATTTAGTAACATCTCACTGTGCACTGATGAGTTTCTTATTATGGTGGTACAAAATGTTTTCTCCTTGTACTAATAYAGAATGTAAGCATTTAAGACTGGGGATATAGCTCAATTGTAGAGCTCTTGCCTAGTATTCACACAATCCTGGATTTGATCTCCAGTACCACAAAACAAAAAATGCAAGCATCTAGACAATGTCTTTCAGTTGTAATTGTCTTTCCTGGCCAGATGCAGGCATGTACTGTAGACTTTGAAAATGAAAAACTTGATCGTCAAAATATGCAGCATCAATTGCATATAATTCTTAAGGAACTCCGAAAAGCAAGAAATCAGATAACACAGTTGGAATCCTTGGTGAGTTTGGAATGGCTAACACAACATTTCTCTCTTTCTCTTCTGCTGTCTTTCTATTTGTATGTGAAATTATTTCCCAATCCAATAGGATACAGCTTAAGGAAAAGCTAACTTTAACTCAAATAAACAGGCAAGTCCCTGCCTTGTTTGAAACAACTACCCATAGAACATCAATTCCGAGCTCAGAAAGAGAGACATTATGCAACTCTTGGTAATAATTATATTACAGGCCCCATGTGGTGGTACACACCTATAATTCCCACTATTGTAGAGGCTGAGGCAGGAGGATTGAAGCTTAAGACCACCCTCAGCAACTTAGTGAGACCCTGTCTCAAAAAAAATAAAAAAGGCTGGGGACATAGTTCAGTTGTGTAGTGCACTGTACTCAATACCAGTGCCACAAAATAATAATTACATTACTGTTGTTCTTCACCCACTCCAGATGCTATGATTCTAGAGGCACTAAATAGCACCCAATTTAGGGGAGAGGGTGGAAGGTGGGGTTGCTGTAGAATCCTGAACTGAAATTATGTTTTGAGAGAGAGAGAGAGAGAAAGAGAGAGATAGATAGATAGATACTGATTTTAGGGATAATGGATTGTTATTGTTAATATGCTTTTTAGGTATGTTATAGGTTAGGCATATTTTGGGAGGTTACCTTGAAAACATAGTACTTAAAAACATAAACCTTTTGAATAATGTTGTTACTATGAGGAAATAGTTTTTTAATTATTTTCATCTTACTAATAAGCTTTTAGATCAAACCTGATGGGAGAGTGTGTCTGCACCTCTGGGTGTGTAGGTCCCTTTAATACACATGTCACAGTTTATCCTAATACTGCAAAATATTTGGAGAAGGTRAAATGTTACAAATGTAACCCCTCCATTTTCAAAAGAGAAAAACAATAGATTTTTAAAAACAAGTAATTTGTAGCTTCTATATTAATAAAGTAAAATATATATCTGACTTTATTTTTTAGTGTGTCATTGATTTCAGGCACTTATATAATATTTAAAATTAAAGGTTAGAATCAATTCTGTTAATGCCTGTTTTTAAAGTATAGGAAACCAGAGGATATGTGAGTTTGTAATTTTCCTGTACTTTTATTCATGTTCTTACTATCCACGGTTTTCATAGTGTGCTATAAAAAYACTCCTTAAACTTGAACTATTCCAAGTTCTTCCGGAAAAAAAAATAGGGAATAGGAAAGTTTCAAAGGTATTATATAATATTTTATTCATTTCTGTGTATAGCCTCTTTGATACACTAAAATTCTTTGCTGCTCTTAATTTTATACAGTTCTTTGTTGCTGACATTTCCCGATTTACCCAACTAGCAAATGTAGTCAGCCACACACACGGGCCTCCCATTTATATGAACCCCCAACCCCAGTACTCTTCCTGGCAATTTGAGTAATTATAGTCATTATCTTAGTCATTTATAACCACCTTATATATTACCACCAAAATATTGATGAGCAGAGGTTCAGAAGAAAGTCTGGGCTGAGGCAGCTAGGGAATTTATGAAACAGTTAAAATTGCTGAACAGTGTGCCTTATATACTGATGGTGTTCATTTAAAATTTATTTTTCAGAAACATCTCCATGAGTTTGCCCTCACAGAGCCATTAGTCGCTTTCCAAGGAGAGACTGAAAACAGAGTAAAGGTTGCCTCACCAAAAAGTCCCTGTGCTGCACTGAACGAAAGCCTGGTGGAATGTCCCAAGTGCAGTGTACAGTATCCAGCCACTGAGCATCGAGATCTGCTAGTCCATGTCGAGTACTGTTCAAAGTAGCAAACTATTTTTTGTTTTTGTGTTGAAAGATTTAATACTGTATCTTATTGCCTTGATGACATTTTGGATTATACATTCCACCTCTTGCTTGCATATAAAAAACTGCCTCTCTACCTTTGACACTCTGGTATGCAAGCACGTCATTGTATTTTTTTTTTTTTTTTTTTTTTTTGGCGGTTGTACATCTTTCTTGGCAGAGACACCTCCTGGGAGGATTCATCATCGGGCTACAAAGACAGAATGTGGTGAGCAGTGTGTACTGAGACTACTAACATTTTGCACTGTTAAAGTATTTGATAAAGAAAAGATATTCAGGTTATTGCTTGTGGGTTAAACCTGTTGCACTGGCAAGCAAATATTTTATATTTTGTGATTTTTAAAAAATCAAAGATAATTAACCAGGGRTCTTAGTATGTTGACTTTTTTATTTTTTTAAAATCTAAGCGCCTAGTACAGCTGCAATTCCAATATCTATGTCCATTGTTAAAAGGTGGTAATATTATTTTCAGTTTTTCCTTGCTATTATAGAACGGTTTTTAGAAAAGTTGAGAATGTTCATTGCTGCTCATTGTTGAAATGGTAAACCTAGCTATGTTCTAAGCACAAAGCAGATTCTCTTTGAGAAATATTCTTAAGTAGCCACACACAGTATCTTCTCTCATATTGTCTGGCTATAACTTTAACTTGGATTTCATTAGCAYAGATTGGTTAGCTAAAATTGTGCAAATGAATTTTAACAAAACCATCAATATATTTTATTTTGATTCTTATTTTTGTCACTCTTAAAACTGGGCAATATAATTATCAGCTGTTTGTTTCTCTGAATAGATTTTTATACATGCTTTATGCAAACCAAAAATTTTTTTATTTCTTCAGGTTTTCAATATGCTTAACACTGGGCTACTGTTAGCAATATAAAGGACAAAAGAATAAAATTATTTAATAAGTTTTGCTGTCTAGTGTATATGTACATACATTGATATGCTAAGATTTCTACCTCAGGAGGAGTTTTGGGAGTTTCAGATTAACAAATGCTGTATAATGATAAGGGAGTTAAGAAAACTCCAGAACCAGCAACTCTGTGAAAGAGGTTAAAGATGCCTGTGCTTTCAGGCATTTTTGCTGAACAGGTAACAACTCATGATCAATAAATATGATTTTATCTGTTACAAAGGTGGAATAATAAGTGTGCTAAGTTTTTTAGTTTGGGAAAGACCACAGACATTGTCTAGCTCTGTTTATGGAGATAAAATTTTGCCCTTATTTTAATAATCCCAGGTTCACAATATCTTCAACCATAGATGAACAAAAGATAGAACTACTCTTCAGCCAGAGAGTTCTTATTCTAATCCACAATGTTGCAGCAAAGACCTTAGTATTTAATTATTAATATTCACTGTAAGGAAGTTGTTTCCCTTAGAGTCTTTAAGCAAGCCACGTGTCACCTCTAGCTTGTAGGTGTGAAAAATGCCTTGTTTTTCAATGGGGGGTGGAGTCTGCGAGGTCCAGGCCTGTGATCAGGCCTGCAGGGATCAAGGCGTGTGTCTCATGGGCACCTGGCCAGGACTTAAACATCTGGAAGCTTCAGCCTGACAGCCCCCAAATCTGACTCCAGGGTGATCTCCTGGAGCTTGTTTTCAATATCCTCACCCTCAGTTTACCAGAGGGCTAGAGGTAGGCACTTSCCCTGTCCACCTCAACCACCAACATCTGGGCACCAATATAAAAAATGTACTTTGGAAAAATCTCAAAATGGGGTATTTCTCCTGTGATGCACTCCTAATGTACAAGTTTTTATACATTTCTGATTAAATAGACAGTTTAGAGTAGGAAGAATACTTCTTTCCTGGATCATGTTATTGAAGCAAGGATCAATAAAGGGTATTTCTGAGACCTGAAAATCCTCAAGGTCTTCACAATCAAAGATGGGGTTCTCCTTCCCTCACTRCCCATCTTTTTTCATGGAAGATCACCACCTACCATTAAGGCATGTTTGGATCTGGAGGACTATAAACTRTGTGCCAGAAACTGCTAAATGTTTAATTTACCTATACCAGCTCTTTTTACAACTCTGTGAAGTCAGTGCTGGTAGCAGCTCCATTTTCAGAAGATAAAAAGGCATAGAGATAAAACAGATTGCCCAAGGTCACCATAATAAATGGTAAAGAAAGGATAGAACATGAGCCCAGTGAGTCCCCAGTGAGGAGAGTTCACCCGCTTTACTGTTTTATCCCCACCACACCCCCATACTAGGGCTGCTATACCAGGATTACTTCTCTCTTCTCTGCTGTGTTGTTTTTTAAAGAATACTTTACACTTAGTAAAGTATACAAATTGATGAGTTTTAGCCRACATAAAAACCTTTGTAAGCATCAGCCAAATGAAGTTATGTACTATTTCTATCACCATCCCTGAAAGTCTTTAGTCCCTTTTCCAGTCCAGTGTCTCCTCCCAGAGGCAGTCTGATTTCTATTACCACAGACTCATTTTGCATGGTCTTGAAATTCCTGTAAATGGGATTATAGATTTGGTGTCTGACTTTTTGACACATCAGTGCTTTGAGACTCTTCGATGTTGCATGTGTAAGAAATTCATTCTGTTTTAAAAGCTGAATGATAGCTATGCCACTGTATGAATACAACATAATTTGGTTTCCCATTCTTTTGAAGGGGATTTGTATTGTTTCTTGCATAAGGTTTTTGTTGTTGTTTGCAGTGTGGAGGGTAGAACCCAAGACCTTGATCTGGTTAGATGTGCAGTCTACTACTGAGCTACCTACCCAGCCCCTTAATCAAGTATTTTTGTGGGATAATATTTTTATGTTTATTAGAGAAATACTTAGAAGGAGAATGCTGAGTCATAAGATAGGTGTTACCTATCTTCAGACTACACTTTGCAGAGACTAAAGAAACTCATTTCTCCAGGTGCCTCCACGGGAAGAAACCATGTGATGGTCCCTAACCTCAACAACTGCCATAAATACAGCACTGAGTTCCACACTGTTGATTTCTTAATCTTTCCATGTAGGTGAAAAACCTCTGGCCCGGAGATAACTCGCTAGCACTCAGGGCCAGGTCATGCTCAGTTCTCTGCTGTTCTTGGCTTATCCCAGAGTAAATTCTAGAGTGAGGGGGGCCACCTCAAAAGCACCCTCTGGTGTGGGCCTGGCAAGTAATCTAAGCAGGTCAGGCAGGCTGGTGCTGACTGTGGAGGCTGGAAAGGCCAGCTTTGCTCAGCAATATGGAATTTTGAATGTGAAATCTCCACAATTTTTTAATATCAGAAACAAAATTTTTCCAGTTTGTGGCCTGCCTTTGGAGCATCTGAATGGAGCAAAAGAGTGACTTACTCAGCCTGAGATGAGGAGGAAACCCAGGAAAGTCTTTAGTCCCTTTTCCAGTAATAAAGAGCTGGTATAGGCCCCCAGTCCCTGCCTGCCATCTTCAGCTGAGGTTTCCCCACATCCAGTTCAGCTGAACAGGCGTTGTCTGGGTGACACAGTGAATTTGACCCTCCCTGACCTTTCCCTTCCACCTGCCATCTGGCTGCTTTTAATGGCTATACTTCTCAGACAAAGAGCTGGCTGCTCACATTTCCTGGTTGTCTTCTGCTCCTCCAGGCCAGCAACACGGAGTGTCAGGGGTGGGGGGCCACTAATCACAAGACCTTCTAGTGTCTTTGGTCGGGTCCAGGAAATCCCCTCACCCTTGGAACTTCTTTGAAATGTGGATTCCTTGGCCTCCTCCACATCTCCTACATCAGAGTATAAGGGAACATGTGTATTTTTAACAATCTCTCTAGAGCATKCTGGTGTATTACTGAAGTTTGAGGACCGCTGATGTAATCCAATACTGACTTACTGACACAAAGGGCTCCCAGAGAGGGGAGTGACTTACCCCAGTTACATAATGGATTTGCAGGCGAGAGAGGMAGGCCCAAGCTCTCCAAGACAGTGAAGGTTAGAGCCCCTTCCACCATGGCTTGTGTGCCATTATTCTAGCAAAATTGCCTTTTCCAAGATCCCCAGTGCTTGCTTTTTCTAGGGCAAGTCTAGTTAGTGGCTTATTGGCCTAGTTCTCTTTTTTTCTTTATCTTCTATCCTGTGCTCTCTATTTTTGAGTCTAATGATATTTTGAATTTGAATGTTTGTGCAGGAAACATTAGGGTGACATCTAGGGGATCTACTACCTGCCAGTCTAGTGGTAACACCCAAACAAGGTGAGACATCAGAACCAAGCAAAGATCTGCATGGAGTGCAGAAAGGATTGAGTCCTGGGGAGTGTTTCATGGCCCAGAAGAAGGTAGGGTCTCTTAGAGTTGAATTCACGTAGTGTCACCCACACCAACCAACCAGAGAAGGAATAGTATGGACCAAAAAGAATGGGTCAGTATCTGGTAATGGTCTGCTAGGCTCACTATATTAATTTAACCCCAAGATCCAGCACAGCTCCCGCTAAAACATTTTAACAGGTGTTACAGGTAAATTCCCTGCTACAGCTTGGATMTGGAATACCCTTAATTGTCCATGTGTTAAAAGCTTATTTCCCAGAGTAGCAATATTTAGAGGTATGGAAATTTTTAAAAGGTAAGGCCTAGTGGAGGTATTTGGGTCACTGAAGGCATTCCCTTGAAGGGGCTTGCAGAACCTTGGTGTTTCTCTCTCCCTCCCCCTCACCCCCCTCGCTTTCTTGTTTTATCACTCTTTATTTTTTTGTCCTTTTTTTCACTTCTCAGTCTCAAGGTGAATGGCTTTGTTCCATTGCATCCTCCCCATCATGAGGCCCAAAGCAGGAACCCATGGATTCATGAGCTGAAACCTCTGAAACTGAGCCAAAATAAATCTTTTTATAAGTTGATTACCTTAAGTGTTTGTTCTAGTGACTGAAATTGACTAACACACTTCCTGAAGAAATCTCACCCATTTTAGAGAATATGCCACACACTGATCTCATCACTTGATTCAGCAAATATTTAACACATCCACAGCAGGCAAGGTGCTG